GCCCGTTATGGTTCTTGAGCAGTCATGATGAAGGACACCAATCATAGCTTCAGTTACTCACATGTGGATAATGCTAGAGCCTTCCCTACCTTTAAGACGGATGCGACCACATGAACAGATTCGCTGTACGGGTTCACTTTGAAGCCAGAATTTAGTTTCTCCTTTAGCACATGGCAGGATTTTATATTGGCTGATTTTCTGAAGATGCCTTTTGTGAGAGGCCCTTTTTTATGAATAAAGGAAAGCATACCCTGTAGGAAAAAAAGAAAAGTATATGGCATCTCATATACACAAACACAGAGCACAAGCTAGCCTCTGTTTTAAAAGAGGAGGGGAATGTAATGGTACACTGTTTTAGAGCGGGAAGGACCAAAGGCAATTTAGTTAGTTTTTTTTTTTTTTTTCAGTGTCTCTCTATATACTTTCTACCGAAATATCCATTTTACAGTCATACACTGAAACATTTTAAACACTTCTTTTAATCAGATTTTCCTTTCCATTGAGTTTCCACTCTTAAATCAAACTTCTCTGCTTCAAGGCCTTTGTGCAATCACCATGTGTTTCCTACTTTACCATGCTTTTCTCATTATTCCCTTACGTAGATGCTCTTCCCCAAGTATGGAAGTCTATTTAGGAAATACTCATTTCCCATTTGTTTATTTCTCTTTAAGTGACTGTATACTCCATTCGTACTTGTTCTATTTCCTTCCCTTCATTTAAAGTCAGGCTCAGAAACTCTCTTCCCCTTCTCTGATTACCCTCCCTTCTCATGAGTCTTTCATTGTCTTTTGCTCTATCTTCATGTCCTCTCTCTGCTGTGTAGAATCTTAATAAGGGCTGGACTCAGGGAATCCAACGGATCTGAAGTCTATTATGCTACTTATCTATTGTGTGAGCTGGGGCACATACATCCTGTACTGAGGCTTTTCTGATTCGTTTAGGCAGTGCGGAGGATGATAATCCTAGCTAGCCGCTAAATTTGCTGTGATGCAAGGACCTGGGGTAATAGGTAGCAGGTAACATGCTAGCTAATACGATACATTTCTTCATAGCTAGCGGAACGTTCCCTACATCCCGTACAGTACTTGCAGAGACACCGAATACTCAGTGAATGTCCACACTGACAATTCACTACAGCAGTTTGAGATAACACAGGCCAAACTCTGTGGCTTTCATTTGACATATTCTGTTAGGATTAACAGATTCCTATTTGCCAGAGGATGAGTCTATGCTTGTGTCAGATGTTTACAATTGTTAGACTGAGTAGACTCCGCTGAAGGAGACTTGAGACTCATGTGAGTTCAGGAAGGCAATGAAGGGAGAGTGTGAAGATGAGGTGGACTCTCAGAGACTCACATACACAGAGTCCATTTTGACTGATCTGAACAAGCCTCCGCATGTCTTTGTGGAAACAAGACCCAAGTGGAATGGAGAAGAATGACTTTTCCTGTTGTATTTGCCTCATGACTCTGCAGGACCGAAATCAGATTCTATTCTTTGAAATATCAGTAACAGAGCTTCTCAACCAAAGCCAGGGGCTGTCTAATGACATCTTCATTTGGGGATAGATTTGGATGAGGACGCTTGGCCTCTCAGAGTTTCCCCTTCTCAGGAGGGCTATTGAAGACCAAAATGAGATGACCTACCAGAATTGGGAAGGAGAAGTTGTCTTTATCACACACATCCATGAGGGGAACTCCAAAGAGCTGTCCTGGCTTTGCGGAAGGTGGGGCTGTGCACTGGTTGTGCTGGGAAGTGCTGGAACCCCGACAAAACGCCCTATCTCTGAAAGAACGGGTTTTCACAGTCTTCAGGCTGGAGTCTAAGGAAGAAGTGAGAGTACTCGTAGTAGTAGTTGTTGTTTAATATGTTGAACCTTCTTTTTCCTTTTTTTTTTTTTTTTTTTACAGATTTTATTTATTTTTTGACAGAGAGAGAGAGACAGCAAGAGAGGGAACACAAGTAGGGGGCGGGGGAGAGGGAGAAGCAGGCTTCCCTTGGAGCAGGGAGCCCGACTCGGGGCTCGGTACCAGGACCCCAGGATCATGACCTGAGCTGAAGGCAGATGTTTAACGACTGAGCCACCCAGGTGCCTCAGACTCATCTTAATTCCTGATGACTTGTATTTTCCTAAAACTTTCCTCAAAGTATGTGGTACGTGTCATGAAAACAAGAAATGTCAAAAATATGGAGGGATTGATGATACGTGTCTCCAGGTTCTGAATCGAAAGTCTACCTTCTAAGGTGGACTGCTGCCAGTTAGGTCTGATTAGCTAGGCTCAAATAATACTACCTCTAGTGTCAGGGGCACTTCTCCTAGTGCTATTAATGGCTTTTTTTGAATTACATCCATCATCTTATTTATTCTACACCAGAATTCTAAGATTTAGACATTATTTTTATCCACATTTTAGAGATGAATAAACTGATGCTTAGCTGCTATAACGGGCCAAAGATAATATAGCTGGTAAATGGGGGTACAGGAATTTACACTCTGGAGAGGTTGTTTGACATCAAGTCAAGTTCTCTTTTCTCAAAGATGCCAATTCTTTTCAACCCATTTCAAAGGGCACTGGAATCCTGTGGTGCCTCAAGAGCCCCTGAGCCAAAAGAGGAGGGAGGGGAAGAAAGGCCCCTTTCTCTGGCTTCAACCAGCGCACATGTAATATACATAAATATATACATTATGTTTATATATTTATATAGTATCAGTATATAATTATGTAATATATATAACTACATAGATATATATATAGCACCCATTTAAATTTTGTGAGAAAAAGTTCCCAAACACTGTGGCATACCATGATGAGTCCTAATTCTGTTATGATCTACACTAGAAACTTCTTGAAGTCAGAGACCTCATCTTATCCTTTCTTTGGTCTCACAACAGTGTGGAACCTCCCTTGACCTGTGAGCCAGCCTTCGGACGAAGGAGCCCATGGAAATCCTTGCCCTGGCGATGCTCTGGGCTCCAGAAGAGCTCTGTCTAAGCATCTCCCATGACCCCTGGCAGCCTTGCTGTCTGCTTCTCACTAAAGCCAATAAAATTATTCCCGGTACCTGCAGCCTGCTCACTGTTACCACAACTCATTGAGTTCTCTCCCAAGAGGGAAGTGATGTCTTCTCCAAATATTTTAAGGCAATTTTCAATGAGAAATTGTACAAGAGAAATCTGTAACACAAAAAGACAAGAATGGGGTGCTCTTTTCCATAGGGCATAGTTATAAATCACATTATGTATATAGACCTTGGATCTAAGAAAGAATGTGAAAGATTTCCCAGAAAAATTCAGAACTGATAAAAATACATAGAGACCAGGAGCGCCTGGGTGGCTCAATCGGTCAAGCGTCTGCCTTCAGCTCAGCTCATGATCCCAGGGTGATGCGATCAGCCCTACATTGGGCTCCCTGCTCAGCGGGAAGCCTGATTCTCCCTCTCCCACTCCCCCTGCTTGTGTTCCCTCTCTCGCTGTGTCTGCCTCTGTCAAGAAAATAAATATAATCTTAAAAAAAATAATAAAATAAAAAACAGAGACCAGAATTCTCTAAGAAATAACTTAGGAAGAGTGATACTTTTCCGTGTACTTTGGGTACACATTTTAAAATACTGCTAATCAGTAGGCTAAAGTTTTAATATGTGGCCTAGTTTAACAGCCAACATTTTGGTATCAGTGGTTACATCATTAAGCCAAGGATAATTTTGGGGGCCCCTCAGTTGAGAATCTGACTCTTGATTCTGGCTCAGATCACTATCTCATGATGGTGAGATCCTGCCCAACATGGAGCCAACTTTGGGCTCCGTGCTCAGCGGGGAATGGGCTTGGGCTTCTCCCTCTCCCTCTCCCTCTTCTTCTTCCCCTGACCCGCTCACGCTCTCTCTTTCCCTCTCTCAAATAAATACATATCAAATATAAATAAAACAAGGATAATTTTCAAAGTAGCCTACCTTATTAAAGTTTACTTATTTTATGTTTTTAAATTTTGTTTCCAGTTTTACTGAGCTGTAACTGATGTATAACATCTTATGAAACTTTATATAAAGTATGAACAAAAACTTAAGAAAACCATTTCTTAAATGAAGAAGTATCTTAAAGTTCGGAAGCAGAGATTTTGGTGGGGTTGTGAGGGAAAACCCACACAGCTGGAGAGAAAATGTATCTGTCTGTCTAACTTCAGTCCCTTCTCACGCATTGCTTTGCCTCATGCTGGCTCTCTCTGTGTGAGCTTGGGGAAGACCTGTCATCTTATTAGGATATTCTGGAATCTCTTGCTAGTTTCCATATGACGTAGCAGAGGTGAAATAGTAGCTGAGTACTTTTCTAGATGAGCCACAATTGGCAGAGGAAGGCCAATGTGTTTGGAGCCATGGGGGCTCATATTGCCCAAGCCACCCAGGATGTGCCAGTAATGACCGGAGGAGCTGGCTGTTGTCGCCATTGTGTAGTGAGGAAACCATGGCTTTGCCCAAGGTTACGAGTCCCTCAGGGATTAGGCTGAGAGTTGAACCTTGACTGGTGAAGAGCCAAAGCCCAGGTTCTTTCCTATCGTATCACACGACTCTTCTCTCTCTCGTTTAGTCAGTCTAGTGTTTAGTCTCCTGGAGGGTGAAGAAGTGACTCGACTGCTCCGAGTTTCCCGTTTAACGACACCCCTTCCCAGACCCCGCCAGAGTAGCCTAAAGAACTCTGCCACTCCACAGGGGCCTAACGAAAATGTGCACTTCACAAGGTTCCATCCGTCAGAGTTACTACTGCACATGTCCGGTTCAAAGTAGGGATTCTACCCCTTGGGGGACAAAAATGAGAGCTCTCATTACCTTTTTTATCAAGTTGTCTTCCAATTCCAAGGTGCCGGAATCAGGTGGGTAAAGAACGCTTGGGGCTATACAAACGGATAAATTATAAGCTGTCATCTGATTGGATGAGGAATGTTGCTCAATGTTGTATAGCACTCCAAAAAGGTATCGCAAGAGAACAATATTTGCTCTTGGCAGCTGGGCTAAAAGCCTAAGGTCAGAAAAACACACTTTAAATTAGGTAAATGATTCCACTTAAGAGGTTGGAACAACAGAGACAGGGAAAAGGATACATCCTTGTATATCTAGCACACAACCCCTCTCTAGCAGAGTTCCAGGCATGAATGTAGACAAAATTGTTGCACTGAATTTAGTTCCTGAGCCAGATAAACACTTCTCTGGTTAGTTAAATGTTTGACAGACTTTTAAGGTCATAGCCCTGGCAGTTGATGCTCTTGCATGTGTCTTGAACCAGGGAATTTCGTCTACAAGTTTCATGGATCCAGAAGGTGTCAAACGGCCAAGGAGTCCACATTAATAAGATCAGGAGAAGAACAATAATAGCCCTAAAGCGTGCCTCTATTCTGAAGCTGACCCCCATGGCTTTGAAGAATTGAAACTCTTTGACATTGGTCGTGATTATAGTGGGCAAAGCTGCAAAACGTAAGCCAATGTTTTCCTAATAGTATGTTGGGTGTATTTTGGAGATGTGACCAGAGTAGAGTAATTATTGCATCGTTACCTCCGCGCTGCAGTCATCTTCTCCTCTTCGTTCCCTTGATCAATAACACCGAGCCATTTGTCATAGAGATCAGACAAAAATATACATCCTGGGATATTTCTTAGGAAATCCTTGTGGAGATAAAAATAAATATGTATATATATTACAGAAAATATGTATTGGAAATATTACAGAGAAAATATGTAGTTAAAAAATTCAGTTCAGCCCCCACTTCCTTCACAGATACCCAAACTGGGACCCACACGGAGCTTGGCTCTGACTCTCCATTGACTTGCACACGCAGCATCAGGTGCTTGGATATTCTCCCCCTAAATCTTAGAGGCATTAAAGCAGAGCTTAGGCTGTGGTAGAAATGAAGATAAAGCTCCCTTCTATCATCTGGAACTTATTTTCTTTGTGTGCTTTTTTTGCAAAGTACCACAAACTGACAGGGTCTGGCTATAGACCATCCTAAATCCTTTTAGCTTCTTGGACAGAAATACGCTTACCCATGTTGCTTGTTTTAGACACAGTGCTAGCTCTTAACTCTAGCAAGAAAAGGCCTGAAACAATCGAAACAGAAACAGGTGGGCTCTTGCACACATATTAGGAAAGAACTAGGTCTTCTCACTCGGGGTATGTGTGCTCCCTGGAAGAAAGCTACTCGCACAATTGCTTCATTCTTCCTTTTCTTAACTGTCTAAAAGTCGAGAGTCTAATAGTAGACTCACTGAGGTCCTGAGGATAGATTCATTTCTAGATTAGGTCCATTCCCAGTTTTTTGACATGATATTATCAAGGCCAAAGTTGCAGAGTCTGTTTCTCCACCAAGATCCATCAACTTCAGGAAGAGAAAACTTTAGAAATGTCTAAGCACTATGCCCACATGTGCATACCCTCTTCCTAGTCGGTGCTTATAACACCGAATCAGGAAGGAACCTCCTAACTCTTTTTTTTTTTAATGATTTTTTTTTAAAGATTTTATTTATTTATTTATTTAAAAGAGAGAGAGAGAGAAACAGCATGAGAGGGGATAGGGTCAGAGGGAGAATCAGGCTCCCTGCTGAGCCGGGAGCCCGATGTGGGACTCCATCCCAGGACTCCGGGATCGTGACCTGAGCCGAAGGCAGTCGCTTAACCAACTGAGCCACCCAGGCACCCGGAACCTCCTAACTCTTGCTAGAAAATCGATTCCATGTGCTCACCTTACAGAGGGCAACACTCATCTTGCTATGTAATGTATCAGCATTCTTCTCCTGTCTCCTGATGCCTATATGTATATTACTACTGGATATCACTATGACCGCAGTGTAGGAGTGGTTACCTAAGTCATTTCTGGACTTTGCTATTGATCACATCTTCGAACATTAACGGGGGACAAGGGAAGACCAAATGTGACTGAGATTCTAAGACTGTAGTCATTACTACGTTAACATAGGGTTGTTCAGAGCTGTTCATAAGTGCCAAGGTGGATGGATTAAATTCTTTCCCTGTTCTATTTCTTTTGGAAACTTTGCCTTCACTAGGAGGGTGGTGAGAATGTTTGCATGGGTAAACAGTGTGTATGTGTCAGTGCGTATTTTTAAATTTATTATCATGACTAGTAGTCATTTCAGTATTAGTATTTTGCATGGCGACTTCAGGAGTGAAGGCAGGGTAGGCGGTGTGTGGTGAAAACAGAAAGAATTTCTAACATATGGGGCTTTTAACTCCTAAAGTAGCTTCCTTAAATTTTGATTTTGTCAAGCGTTTTTCAGCTTGTCAGGTTCTTAATCTATTATGCCCATTATGGTTCTTGAGCAGTCATGATGAAAGACACCAATCATAGCTTCAGTTACTCGTGAGTGGATAATGCTAGAACCTTCCCTACCTTTAAGACGGATGCGACCACATGAACAGATTCGCTGTACAGGTCCACTTTGACCCCAGAATTTAGTTTCTCCTTTAGGACCCTGGTTGATTTTATATTGGGTGATTTGCTGAAGATGCATTCTGTGAGGGACGCTTTTTGATTAATAAAGGAAAGCATATCCTGTAGGAAGAAAAGAAAATTATATCGCATCTCATACCCCAAACGCAGAGCTCAAGCTTGCCTCCGTTTTGAAAGAGGAGGGGAATGCAATGGTACACTGTTTTTGAGCTGAAAGGACTAAAGTCAATTTAGATTGTTTTTTTTTTCAGTGTCTCTCTATATACTTTCTACCCATATATCCATTTTACAGTCATACACTGAAACATTTTAAACACTTCTTTTAAGCAGATTTTCCTTTCCATTGAGTTTCCACTCTTCAATCAAAATTCTCTGCTTCAAGGCCTTTGCACAATCACCGTCTGTTTCCTACTTTACCATTCTTTTCTCATTATTGCCTTACATAGATGCTCTCCCCCAAGTATGGAAGTCTATTTAGGAAATACACATTTCCCATTTGTTTATTTCTCTTTAAGTGAGTGTATACTCCATTCCTACTTGTTCTATTTCTTTCCCTCTTTTAAAGTCAGGCTCAGAAACTCTCTTCTCTTTCTCTGATTACCCTCCCTTCTCATGAGTCTTTCATTGTCTTTTGCTGTATCTTCATGTCCTCTCTCTGCTGTGTAGAATCTTAATAAGGGCTGGACTCAGGGAATAAAATGGATCTGAAGTCTATTATGCTACTTATCTATTGTGTGACCTGGGGCACATACATCCTGTACTGAGGCTTTTCCGATTCGTTTAAGAAGTGTGGAGGATGATAATCCTAGCTACCCTCTAAATTTGCTGTGATGCAAGGACCTGGGGTAGTAGCTAGCAGGTAACATGCTAGCTAAGATGATTCATTTCTTCATAGCTAGCAGAACGTTCCCTACATCCCGGACAGTGCTTGCAGAGACACCGAATACTCAGTGAATGTCCACACTGACAATTCACTACAGCAGCTTGAGATAACACAGGCCAAACTCTGTGGCTTTCATTTGACATATTCTGTTAGGATTAATAGTTTCCTATTTGCCAGAGGATGAGTCTATGCTCGTGTCAGATGTTTACAGTTGTTAGACTGAGTAGACTCTGCTGAAGGAGACTTGATACTCATGTGAGTTCAGGAAGGCAATGAGGGGAGAGTGTGAAGATGAGGTGGACTCTCAGAGACTCACATACACAGAGTCCATTTTGACTGATCTGAACAAGCCTCCGCATGTCTTTGCGGAAACAAGACCCAAGTGGAATGGACAAGAATGTCTTTTCCTGTTGTATTTGCCTCATGACTCTGCAGGACCTAAATCAGATTCTATTCTTTGAAATAACAGTAACAGAGCTTCTCAGCCAAAGCCAGGGGCTGTCTAATGACTTCTCCATTTGGGAATAGATTTGGATGAGGACACGTGGCCTCTCAGAGTGTCCCCTCCTCAGAAGGGCTATAGAAGACCAAAAGGAGATGACCTACCGGGATTGGGAAGGGCAAGTTGTCTTTATTACACACATCCATGAGGGAAACTCCAAAGAGCTGTCCTGGCTTTGAAGAAGGTGGGGTTGTGCACTGGCTGTCCTGGCTAGTGCTGGAGCCCAGACAACAGGCCCAGTCTCTGAAAAAACTGCTTTTAACTGTCTTCTGCCTGTAATCTAAGGAAGAAGTGAGATTAGTAGTAGTAGTTGTTGTTTTATTCGCTTAACCTTCTTTTCTTTTTTTTTCTAAAGATTTTATTTATTTTTTGATAGAGAGCCAGTGAGAATTGGAACACAAGCAGGGGGAGCGGGAGAGGGAAAAGTAGGCTTCCCACCCAGCATGGAGCCTAATGCAGGGCTCAATCCCAGGACACAGGGATCATGACCTGAGCCCAAGGGAGACGCTTAACAACTGAGCCACCCAGCCATCCCGCTTAACCTTATTTTCACCATTCCCATTCTACGGTACATTCACTGCAATGGCTAGAAGAGGGAAACTGAGGCATTTTTTGTGTAGAATTTTCCATGTTTTGAAATTGGCCAATAGCATTCTTATGGTGTTAACAGTTGTTCCCCAGATCCTGCAAACTGATGGTTAAACCTAGAGACTTGATCAGACTTAGTGTCAATGCTTTCAATCCCATCTACTGCCCGTTGTGCTTTATCATGAGGCACTTAACTTGTTGTTTGTTTCCTATTGGTAAGTATGATTAGTGGATTCATCCAGTGTCAGATCTGATTTTAAAAGCTCAAAAGATCTGGTATTCAAATCAAGCTGAGTTTGTTAATCATCTGCTTTCACAGTGAGTCTCCTTCCAGTCTTAAGTTTCCTCTTTGGCTTTCTGAGTGCTCAACTTTTTTTTTTTTTTTTTAATTTTATTTATTTATTTGGCAGAGAGAGACAACGAGAGAGGGAACACAAGCAGGGGGGGATTGGGAGAGGGAGAAGCAGACTCCCACTGAGCAGGGAGCCCGATGCAGGGCTAGATCCCAGGACCCTGGGATCATGACCTGAGCTGAAGGCAGACGCTTAACGACTGAGCCACCCAGGTGCCCCTGAGTGCTCACCTTCCAAGATCAAAAGGATCTGCCTTTCATGACATGATCCGCCTGACCCCACTTCTCAGGCGGCCTCTGGTGTCTCTGCTCTGGGCCATCCCCAAGGATGACTCCCTGCATTCAGGGTTCTTGGGAAATAGTCATTACATGCTGGCTATGTGGTAAGATTCCAGGTGACTGTGTTTTCTTGTGATACCCCACCAAGCTACCCAGAGATGACTTTTTTTTTTTGTAAATTATGTTTGATATTTACGGAAAAGAGTCTAATCCACAATGAATTGCACCCAATTCCTCACACATACTCAAACATACATGTATATACACCATACCAGTACAAGGCTTGAAAGAAAACATACAAAAAGAAAAACAATGAGAGATTATGAATGCCTGATTTATCCCCAATTTCCAGAGATGATTTTGAATTACCCAACATTCCCTATCAAAGGAATGCAGAAGAAGAGCTTTACAAAGAAAAGGTGATCTGCAGTGAAAAGCTGAGTTGAAAGTTTCTACTGCTCAGCTATGAATGTTTTCCTTATAAGATACCTTAACATTTGCTTATAAAATCTGCTTAAATAACTGAATTCTTTAAAAGTCCACAGAGGAGCCAAGCTGTAGAAGGATAAACAAATGAGCAACATTTCACCAAACACCCATAAACACCTGTCCACTGGGCTTTTCTGGGATGTAGTGAGTGCATCACCGTATCCACTCACGTGGGTGGCAACACTCATGGCACTTGACCAGAGAGACCAGGATCTAAGAACCAGAAGCATCCTGGTTCTGCCACCTAGTTAGATTACTCAAAAATTCTTAAGCTTTGGTTTGCTTAACTTTAACATAAATGCTGCTGCCTACAACTCGTTGAACTAAATGTAATGTACTACTCAGCACAAGGCATGGCTCGTGGCAGCCTTGATAAAAGTAATTTCCTTGCTCAGAAGGCCTCAGGCAGTCTAGACGTCAGTCTCTTCCCCCTCCAAAGCAGACATCACTCCCATTCTCTATTTGATTTTGCAACCTCTAGAAGGTAGGCAATCATGAAGGATGGCTACCACTTTACTTAACTAAGGCTCTTTCTTCCTGCTCTGAAATTGATACCGCTACCATTTTAAAAGGAGAGAAGAAAGAAAGCAAACACATTCTTAAATCCAGGAGGAGATTCCTGTACATCAAAATGTATGCATTTGCTGAAGATACGTGTTAATATGTAAGTTGAGTTGTTGTATGCAACCTGGGTTCCCTACTCTTCCCCTAGTTTTATTATTTCTAAAACTACCCAAATATATTCCATTCTTCAGCTTTAATAAGAAGAATGCTCTTAAGAAGAATGTTGTATCCCTTGGTACAAAGCTATATATCTAGCTACTCTATGAGTATACAGAAAATAAGTACACATTGAGTCCTATACTTTCTCCAAGGTATTTTCAGGCTTAGCTGGATGTTTCATAATGTACATTATTTGCTGTTAGAGGTCATGTTGCCTCTATTACTAATAAAAATATATGCTATAGCCATGAAAAATATAGGAATGTTTAAACAAGCTAACTTTATGGAAACCTATTCTTTCTTAAACAGTCCTGGCAAGATTTGGGTTAATGTTTCCTAATGCTTGAATTAGGGTATGAATATTAAAAAATAAAATTTTTGAAACTTTGTGCTTATAGAATAACAATCATAACAATAAAATACTTTCTATTTTGGCCCAATACTTCTCAGATGAATAACACATTTTCATCAGAGAAAAAAATATCAATGGGAGAATACTGGAATGGTAGGGAAAAAAATAGCAAGAAGGAAGATGAAAAAGCCCTGACCATAAACATTCAGTCTAGCTCCAGCCTTGACCTGTGTCTGAAGCAGACATGGAAAGTGGGGGCAGAATTGAGACTTGAATTCTAACTGTAAGCCCAAGGCCACTTCAGCCTAAGCCCAGAATAAATCCAATTCAGTTCCATAACTCTTTACTCCACTGGAGTTCTTCCATTCCAGGTGCGTCTAAGCCATGCAGTCATTTGATTCCATCCTGTGATGGCCTGAGATACTAGATAAAACCCTGGAATAGGGAAGACCTGTTTCCAGGCCACAAACAGCTTGTGCTCTAAGAAGACACACAGATGTGTACTCACATAATTATATGTAGAAAGTGTTCTGGGGATACAGAGAAAGGAGCTAACAGTCTACCTAGGAGAATTAAAACAAGCACACAACCTTCCTCGAAGTGAGTTGGGTCCTAAGACCTTTGGGTTTCTCTAAGCTCGATTCTGTGCAGTTTTGGGGTTCTTGCCTCTACTGTTCCTCCCCACCCCCCACAGAGAGAGTGAGCTCTGTGTCCTCAATTTGTGGGCAAGAGTGGAGACATGAGCCAAGAGGAGACACCTGAAGAAAGGGAAGGGGCTCACCTCTCCCTTGCTCATTCTGCGCCGGGTGCCTGGGCTTCAGGATGAACCGGCCTTGCATCTCTGCGAACCCCTGCTCCAGAAGGAGGGACTCCTGGAGGGTGGAAGGAGAGATGGAGTCCTCTGGTGTCTGCGGCAGCAGTGTGGTAGATGGAAGATGGCTCATTTTAATTCCACAGGGATGTTTATGTCCTATATGGAAAAAATATAGATTCAGGCTGATGGTGATGGCTCTGATCAAATCCCCCTTCCCATGAGTGTATGCATCACACTGGTATATGCTGCTATTCTCCTGGGGCTTCTGGCACTCACTCTGTGCCTCCTGAGTGAGCATCATATTCGCTCTTGTTGGAGACACCCTGCAGAAAGCAGGTGCCCAAGGAAAAGATTTTAAAAAGAGAAAAAAAATGTAAAGCATGTTACTTTACTTGGAATACAAAGATTCATCAGTGCATTGCACAATGCTGACTTTCGCTGTGTTTCCATCTGAGAATATTTAAGGCCTTCTAGTTTCTGCCTTGACACTAACGAGATCTGCACATCTTAGGCAAATTACTTGACCCCTCTGAGCCTTACATTCATCCTTTGAAATGCTTGCCCTCACACAAACTTATAAGGATCAGAGTAAATATATTAATATGCATTGGTGGGTAATATTTTTTAAATAATTGAACATATATATTAAGAATTGCTATTCTCTCTCACATAATGTCAGTTGAGCAGATTTTTTTTTCATTTCCTTTTGTCAATTTCTAGAGGCAGAGCTACTCAAGGGCAGTGGGATGGGTTGCCTTTATGCTTTATACTTCCCTCCCACTGCTGCCCTTCCTCCAAGGGGAGTCCTGCCAGGTGATGATCAGAGGGAAGGCTGAACAGTGTTGGGAACCCACAAGCAAAGTGCAAAACGATGTTTACAGAGTGGAAAACTGCACCCAGAGTCAGTGAGAGTTGCCTGCCAAGTGATTTGTTTTATTCTTGTATGCTTTAAATTGTTTCCTCTCTATAGAATTCTCAAAGACCCTGTGCTATAGGATATGGATCTCATTTTTTAAGAACAGAATGGAAGTTCTCTTTCTGTCATTTCTGATTTATTATTGAATGTAACTTGGGGAGCTTTTGCTGTTCCTTCTCATCTGTCATAGATGCAGTGTCAGTGATGTGTTCACAAGAATCACAGTGACTTCCCTCTTTTAAGGAAAAAGAAGCTTCTACGACAGCAATACAACCAAATCACAAAGATAACCAAGAGATAATCCGCAATTGAGAATTGAGAGCATTGGTAAAAAATGCATTTTGAATGCTGCCAATGGATCATCATGAATGACAGGCTCTCCGGATTCCTTAGAGCTGCCTTGGTGTGTGAAGCTGCTCAAAGTCTAAAAAGTTATCATCTATATTGTTTTACCTAAATTAATGCACTTTATTAAAATAAATATATTTAAGTATTTGACTTTTTTCCTTTTTGTGGTTGGCCGACTTTTACAGAGATGTCAATATTAATATGAAACATGAAATGGTGGGGGGGATTTTTTTCCTCAGCTATGCCCTTGGTGACTCTCTGTATTCTAAGACTGGGAATATACATTTCGTAGAAAGAAATTGGTTATTTAGATTTCTAGATCACTTGAAAATATTCTTTAGATAACTTGAAAAAGAGTAATAGCCTCACGGGATTATTTTCTTTTTAAGATTTTATTTATTTATTTGTCAGAGAGAGAGAGAGAGCACAAGCAGGGGGAGCGGCAGGCCAAGGGAGAAGCAGCTCCCCACTGAGCAAGGAGCCCAGGACCCTGGGATCATGACCTGAGCCAAAGGCAGACACTTAACTGAGCCACCCAGGCATCCCGCCTCACAGGATTATTAAAAAGATTTTGAAAAACGCATGTAAGAAGGAATGCTCTAAGATTTCTAGCAGAAATCATTGTCACCATTACCATACATTACTATACTTCAAGGTCTGCTACAGATCCTCTCTTTTTTCTCTTGTTTTTTAATCCTTCTATTTTTGGTAAGCACTGAACAATTTTGCTAATCCAAAGATTTTTTTTTAGAGAACTTGTGCTAATAACTATTTTAGGAGAGGTGTAATCTGTTTATCAATAACCTTAAGAACAGTGATGGAAAAAGCCTGAGAAACAACAAAGTGCAGGTAGTTTAGTCAGTGAAGACTTGAGGAGTTTAAATGTGATTATCTCATTCTCTTTATGATGCTGAGAAAACTTCTGGGCACAGAGCAGGTGTTAAATACATACCTATACCTGGATTCAGAGACATGATTGGATTTTAGCGGATTCTCACAAAATAGAGGCTATTTAGTCGTTAGGAACTGGAATTCAAGACTGGAATATGAAAAATAAATGTATGGGGAAAAAAAATTCCAATTCTATGCTTTCATACCTAAGTGAGTAAATAAGTAAGTAAACAATAAACAAAAAAATTTTTAAGACAGCTCCGTTTGTCAGGTAAAATGAAGTAGAAACGAAAAATTTACATTTCTCTCCCTAACTAGACCTTAAGCTGATGAATGAAGAGATGTCCTCAGTGCCTGGGAACAAGTAAGCACCTGGTAATTCTTTAATAAACGTGAGAGTGAATATTGCATGTGATTTTCACTTTTAAGGGTATTTAAGCTGAAGACAGAACAACCATTACTTTGAGATGTAGAGTTACAATTTTGAACCTAATCAATCCCATCTTAGATTTTCCCTGACACTTACCAGTGAGTGGGTGTGGGGACGCTTCCTTGCCAGCACTCACCCACAGCTGGTAGTCTTTCTCAGAGCCCTTGGAAACAAAAAGAACTATGCATCATAACAAATCTTTCACAGTACTTGAAGAACACATTTCCTTTGCATTTCTCTGTTTCCAGAAAGAAAGAATTGGGGCCAGTATAAATGCCATTTGGTCCATGGAGGTAGCTACAGTACTTGTTAACTTGTTCCCTCATAGCCTCCAGTGGACCGTCCCAGGTTCTTGTCATTTTTGATAAAGGCCAGGAAACCACAGTACAATCAGCCCCTCACGGTGTGGGTGGCCCATGGCCTAAGAAATCACAGTTGTGCCCCTTCGCTAAGGAGGAAACTTCTAATCTCAGAGTCCTGCCTTCCGCTGTCTCTAGATTCCTTGGATAATGCTGGCTTTTGCCGCCAAATGTCCCTGCCCTGACATGCATATTGTCCAGAGAGCCATATACCCTGCTATGACTATTCCTGAGCAAAGTAACTTGAAAGGCATCAATAGTTCCGCAGCCCTGGGCAAAAGGAGACAAACGCCCAAGAGGCCTTGAGGAGATAGTGGACTGAAGTCAGCCACTGGCTTTGGTGCAGGCAAGCCCCACTTCAGGGAGAGAAAGAACAAGGACTCTAACCTAGACAACATATCAGATGCAGAAAACAATTACTCCCAGCAGAATGACCGCCCAGTAAACCTGGAAGTCCTACTTGAAACAAACACATCTAAATTATAAAGACCGCTGAACTATTTTAGAGAGTCTTCCAGGAGACTAAAGCAAAAAATGTTTGACATGGAGTTGTTGGTGATAGGTACTATGCTTGACCTGGACTCCTGATTAAAAATCATGGTCTTGCCCTTATGAAGAAAGGTCATAGGTATGGACACAGACACACACACAGACACACGCAGACACACAGACACACACACATAGCTAAATCTGCTCAAAATTGTATTGCAAATAACTCGTGAGAGCTAGTAAGGTAGGGTAGGGTTTGGAAATGCTATGCTGGAATCCCTTAAATCAGGCATACATAAAGCCAAATAACCCCAATTCTTCATTAAAACAGAAATTCTTTGTGTGGTGAGATTGATCACTTTATGCAAAGGAAAATCACAAACATGAAATAAAATGAGCTTCATCATTAATCAATCTCCTCAACTTCATCCCTAAAACCACTCACTCTCTGTCTAAGACTTAATTCCTATTTAGGGTATATATATCATACAGGTTAGAAATCAATGTAGATATGTGCTTTACTCAGTACATATAAATTCAATTTTATTTGATATATTATTAAATTTTGTTTGTACAGAAATCATTGATTTCTTATGCTAAATTCCAGTTGCCCTGAATTTTTAAGGGGCTTTATTATACCATTGGGTCAGACAGAATTTAAGTAAGAATCTTGTAATTATGTCATGTCATAATAGCAAGACATTTTTGCATTTATAGAGGATTTTATATAAGAAGCTGTGCTTTACAAGTGCTCCCTTCAGTTCTGTCCATCTGACTATCACTCTCCCTCTCTTTTCCCTTAGAAAACCTCATCCTCAAATATGTCCATGTCTTTCATCAAAAAAAAAAAAAAAAAATCCAGCAACTCACACCAGCACCATCAAAACATAAAGGAACAGGCCGTTAAAACCAAAACAAGATGAAAGTGATATGTACGCAACTGCCCCCAGATCATGGTCTTATTCAGAACTTGTCCTCTTTACCAGTTCATAAGGGGTGTGAGCCGCCTCATCCCAAGGAACTGCATCAAGAGGAGGTAGCTTCTAGCCATGTGGTCTTTATGTCAAAATGTACAACAAAACATATAATTTAGGATTCATCTAACTGGGATTGAGTCCTTGGGTGATGACCAGAGTAAACAGGGATGGGGAGGAATCAGGAATGAAGACACAGACAGAAGAGTCCAATAGAGGAGGAAATATTTAGAAACTTAGAAATATTTTATTGTCTGTGTATAAAATATATACAATAAACTGCATGTTGTTATTAGCACTCTAAAATTATAGCCCAATTTTATGCTATGATTTTGAATTCGCAGAAAATTTAAAATGGGAAGACAAGAAGAGCACCCATGTATAGGCTAATAATATAGCTTTGCTGCCTTCAATTTCTAAATCTGGGGGACAAAATATGACTATGATATGTATAATAATCAGCTGTCTTATAACGGGAGGTACACAACACACAGACACACACACACAAATCTCAAAAGTCAAAGATGGTTTTTAAATTAAAAATAGTTTGCAAGGGAACTTACAGTTATTCCTAGCATTGGTAGTGACATGTTGATAATGTCATTCACTGTGTCTGAATTTGTTACTGTTACAGTTACAGACTGTAAAAAAGAAATGAGAAAAATTGCTATAAATTTTTAAAAATTTAAAGCAGGTGACCAAATAATTATTGTCAAATTATTATCCATACTCTAAAGGCAAAGCTTGTTTTCAGTTAATGACAAAGTAAAGCATATGTAGAGCACACACCCTTGATTACAATATTTTCATTTCTTTACATAACATGAGGCTAGTAGGAAACATTTCAGTGAAACATATATTTCCCTTCAAGGATTTGTGGCTTACAAAATATAGCAGCTTAAGCAAGAAAGAGAAAAACAGAATTCCACGAGGGGACATGAATTGACCCTCAGCTCCATAAGGCTATTCCCAAAATAGAGAGGGGAGATAGTTTAAAAAGGAGGAGCTAGATACTTTTCTCTCTTCGCAATTACATACTCAGTTTCAGCAAAATCAGAATAAGAACCGTCTGTGACAGACATTAAAAAAAAAAAAAAAACTACTATTTAGTCAATACTTTCTTTGTGTCATCATGGTTACTAAGATTTCCATTGTTGAAATCTGTTGAGACAAATAAAACCAATGAGTCTAGGAAATGAGACTGAAAATGTTAGAAGTTTATATTCCATTCGCAACTCTGACAGTGAGTAGTTACTTATAATATCTCTCTATCACACCTTATATTGAGAAACTGCTCCATACAACAAGGAAAACAGTTATTGAAAATTATCTGAAAGGGATGGATAGGAATCTGAGATGATATCGATAAAAGTACCCGAATTCCAAAAGACATTTTAAAATAGGACAATATGTAACCAACCACGCATACACTTTTTATAACATTATTAGGCAATGAGGCCTGTGTTCTTTGAGAAACAGTGCATGAAGAAGACAAGCAACAGAAGTGGACACTCACAGTCCTTAAAAATATTAAAAACAAAGTTAAAAGAAACTTGTTCTTTCATTGTATTTTTCTTCTTATGAATTGAAATGCAATTGCTTGATATGACAGATGGCCCAAAAGTTGCTTGATAATCGAACTTTTATAAACAAAAGTGTTCATTGATTTCAAACTACTTGAGCTTTAAGGATTATAAAAAAAAGTGTTCAGAACCTAGCAGTAGGACTCAGAGCACCCAAACTCAAGGATATCCTATGTTAAATTGTCTAGGAGGGGCTTCCTATGTTAAATTGTCTAGAGGATTCAAGACTGGGTCTTAGCTTGAAATTTAGTTAGAAGTAATGGCTCTGCTATTTTTTTAAAGATGTCTGAAAGCCTTTCAGTACAACTTAAAAAGTTTCCCACAAAATTTTTTTTTTTTTAAGATTTTTGTTTATTTATTTGTCAGAGAGAGAGCACAAGCAGGGGGAGCCACAGGCAGAGAAGGCAGAGGGAGAAGCAGGCTCCCCTCTGAGCAGGGAGCCTGATGCAAGACTCCATCCCAGGACCCTGGGATCATAACCTGAGTCGAAGGCAGATGCATAACTGACTGAGCTACCCAGGCATCCCTCCCATGAAATCTTTTTAAAGAAAAAAAAAAAAATCTCTTTTGAAATACTAATAATCACTTTTTAATTTATCTGGTCTGCAAGATAATGGTTTTCATGGTATAAGGAACATACTATGTTCAAAATAGTAATTCCAGAGATGTATGTATATTTTCCTGCATGTTGTAGGTTCTCCAAAACAGATAAATTCCAGTAGATAGAGCTCTCTGTAAACAAATGACTTCAGAAAAATAAGCTGCTTTTTGAAATAATTTAAAAGAAAAAGAAATGTTACTTTTTTTTTTATATGAGTCAAAGTGTTACTTAATATATGAAGAACAAGGAATATGTGATCAATTCTCAAGAGCTGAAGCCAACCCTGAGATGATCTAGATGTTCAGACTGTTAGCCAAAAACAGCTATTACATTAATGCTCAATGATACAAATGAAAATATGCTCACAATAAATGAAAGAGGCATCTTAGCATAGAAACTAAAAATATTTAAAAACAGAAATTTTTTATCTGAAAAATATCTTAAAGAAAAAATTTACTGACTAGGCTACATTGCATAATGGAGATGACAAAAAGAAGTCAGTGATTTGAAAATAGATAATAGAAATTATCCTGTCTGAAGAAGAAAAGGGGAAAAAAAGATTGAAAAAATTAAGAGTCTGAGGGATCTATGAACAATATGAAAGGGTCTAATATACATATAACTGGACTCTCAGGAGGAGAGGAGAGAGAAAATGGGGAAGAAAATATTTGAGGTAATCATGATTAAAATTTCCCAAATTTGGTGAAATTAAATTTATAAATTCAAGAAGTTCAGAATATGCCAAATAGGACAGATTCAAAGAAAACCATGCTTTGATACTTCATAGCCACACTGCTAAAAACCAAAAATAAAGAGAAACTCTTGAAAGCAGCTAGAGAAAAATGACAAATCACCTACAGGGGATTAATGTTTGATTGATCACAGACTACTCATCAGAAAGCACAAAGACAAAAAGACAGTGGAACATCTTTAAAGAGCTGAAAGGAAAAAGTTTGCGAACAAAATTCTACATCCCTCAAAATATCCTTCAAGAGTGAGTGTGAAATAAAGCCATATTCAGATAAGAGAAATTAAGAAAATCTGTTTGCACCAGGTCTGCACAAGAAATGCTAAGGATCATCTCTCTAGGATGAAATGAAAACAGTGTTAGAGGGAAACTTGGATGTTCAGGAACAAGTGAAGAACATTAGAAATGCTTATTTTGTGTAAATTATACATAAATAAAGTTGATTTTTAAAGATTTCAAGGTAATTTTCCATGGAAAATTCTGAGTGTAACCCACTGCCACAGCTGAAATCAAAGCAGGCAGAGACAAGAGTGTGCTCTGCTGCTAGAGAACCCTCTGGCCTTATCTCCTTCATGCAATGCATCTACCTGGTGCTTAGAAACCAATCAAAATATTTGCATGGCTTTTGCTTTGGCCAGGAATAACTACCCCTTTTTCCACCTTCAAATACTATTTTGTGTGACCTAGAGCTACTGTAAAGTATAACAGGAAAAAAAAAAATGTCACTTAAAGATACCCAAAGTATCTTGTTCATCATTGCAAATGTCTTGGCTACTGCACTACAATTTCAGAAATCAAATTTTATACCAAGAATGGGCAACTGGTTTGATTTTTTTCCCCCCAACAGCCAAAAGAAAATGAGATAGAAATATGCTGATCCCTTAAAAGTGTCATCCCTCTGAGCTCAATTCAACCCTGATATTCCTTGGATCAAAAGACCTTTCAAAACCCCTCTGCAGTTGATATAGCTACTAAGTGAAATACCTGACCCTTGAGTAGATCCTGTACTGGAAAGGAGACATTATTGAGGTCAACTGACAAAATGGGAACATGGAAGGCAGAGTAAAGTATTACACCGATGTTAAATTTACTAAAGGTGATAACTGTGTGATGGTGATATAAGAGGATATCTTTATTCTTGGGAAATACCTAGGTTTAAGGATAAAGGGCCATGGCATTTGTATGACCCTCAAAAATAAGTATAACATACACATAATAGGGACAGAGAAAGAAAATAAATGATAAAGCAAGTGGAGTAAAATGTTACTAATAGCTGAATCTAGGTAAAGGGTGCATGGGGTGTTTTTTGTTTTATTTTTATACCTACAACTTTTCTGTGAGTTTACAGTTATACCAAATAAAGCGTCAATGGGGGGAGGGTGGAGAACTGTGGAAACAATCCAAACCATTCTGTACATAAGTAGTAACCATTGGGAAAAAATGTTTACTTCTAGTAGGAAATACCTGCATGTGAAAATCACCTTATTACAAGCCAGTGATGTTGCTATTAGAAAGAGCCAGGGAAATATTATGGATATTTAACATGCAATATTCTTTCCATGCTTAAGTACTGTGGCATGGATTCCTCTCGCTTCATATTACCTAGGATGCACTCTTTATGTATACAAAGACACGTGTAGACAGGAAAATACATTTTCCCACATGGTACTTTTCTAAATACTCTCTCTCTTCTTATCTCTTGCTCTCTCCTTCCTACCTCCCCATCTCTCCCTCCCTCCCTCCCGCTCTCTATCTCCATCTCCATCTCCATCTCTTTCATTCTATCTGAATCAGGAACATGGAATTTAATTTTTGGTCTTAAAAACACTTACACTGGCACAGTTCTTGATGTCCTCAGTGAAGATTCTGAGAGGAATGCTTTTGGGCTGGTCCTTCTCTTTGGCCAGATTGATATACCTAATCAAATTCAATAATAACCCCAAATAGAGTAGGATGAATTAGCTATTAGCTTACTTTCAAATTGATCTATGTGGCTAAAATTTTCAACATACTCTGTTATTTTTAAATGCATGTAAATAAACTCAGCAACATCAAATTATGGGTTGGAAGAAAACATGCAAAACTATTTCAGGAAAATAAGACATGACTCAGAAAACAACAGGTTGCTCTCGTCATGTAAGATGTGAGTAGCAGATCCAGTCATCAAAGCTTTCCTGCCTAGACTGGAGGGCCCAGCACCTTCAAGGGTAGGAATGAGAAGGTGCTTTGAGCATCACTCAGGAGAGTAAATTGCACTTAAGAAAATTTAATATGTATCTTTTGAGAATAATGTTAGCTCCAATCATTAGGTCTGAGAGAAGGGGAAGATGAGAGTGATAACCAGAATTTCATCAAAAATAAGCAATATGTGCATGTAAATAAGAGCAGATTATTTGCAGTAGCAGCCAGGGTACATCTAAATAAGAAATTATTTGAGGATAGTCTAACAATTTCTACTAAGTAGGGGAAGCATAGTGTGTGGGGGCACTGCTTTGAAGAGATTTATTCTTTTCTCATGGGTTAAAGATGTATAATATGTATAGTGACAAGATACCTTTGAAGGAAAGAATGCCATTTTTCCTTTTGTTCCGAAGAACTGCAATTTAAAAAAAATGGGAAGAAAAAATTAAGATACATACAATACTTATACTAGCAAAATAAGATCACCATTCCAGAAAAAAATAGCAGCAGCCAGTTGTTAAGGATGTGGATGCATGTGTTAATATCATACTGTCCTCATAGTTGCGCTTTGGAGGGACCCCACTCTTTTATGAGCGTATTAAAGCAATGGGAAGTAGATCCTAAAGTGGGAGAAAAGTTGGTTTTGAATCTGAACACTTAATTGTAACTATGTGATGCAAGCTATGTGATCAGGGGCACTTTGCTTAACTGCGCTGATCTTCAGTTTCCAGAACTGGAAAAGGGTTAATTATACCCCGAGTGTTCCTGCAGCTGCAAGTGCTATTCAGATATAAAGAACATTATTATTCAAATTAAATCATACTTAAGGAATTTGGCATTTGGATGGAACTATCTTGGCCCAGAAACAAGAATAGCTTTTTAGGAAGAAACACCTGTAATATTTTTATTTCTTTATACACATAGCAGATTGGAATGTGTTAAATTAGTTTCTAGAAAACATTCTTCGTTACTGTGATCCTCTGAGCAAGATCGATCCAGCTAGTGCTAAACTACTAAAGGTTAGTCTTTTCTCAACTAAAGTTTTCACAGCATTTAATACCCAAAGTTGCGAATGTTTTAAGCCTCATGCATACATGGCCTTACCACTTACTAGCGTTTTTTTACCGTGGTAAACTACACAAAATAAAATTGACCATTAGTGACCTTTAGTACATTCACAGTTTTGTGCAACTACCGTGACTGTTTAGTTCTGGAACATTTTTTCACCCAAAAGCAAACCTGTGTCCACGAAGCAGTCACTCTTCCTTCCTTCCTGTTTCTAGCTCCTGTACCATATTTTGTGTATTTGTTGATAAACACGTGGGTTGTTTCTACTTTTTTTTGTTTGTTTGTTTTTTGGCTATTGTCGACAATGCTGCTATGAACGTTTGTGTATCAATTTTTGTGTGGACCTACGTTTCTCTTGGGTATCTATCTGGGGGTGGCATTGCTGGGTTGTATAGTAATTCTGTTTGACTTACTGAGGAACCATCAAACTGTCCACAGTGGCTGCCACATTTTATACTCCTCCCAGCAACACTGCTCCCCAACCCCTCCATCGCTGTTTCAGGATTTGTCCCATCTGGAAAATGGAACGCCCACTTAGCGTCCCAGCCTGCCTATGCGCATGGACACAGCTTCTAGTTAGCCATGCTGATCTGCAGAACAGTCATAACCACAAATAGCAAAAGCACTAGGTGCCAGGAATTGTTATAAATGCCTTCTATATGTTTACACAGCTTTTTAACTAATATAACATGTATAAGCCTGGCTTCCACATTGTCCTCCTTGTTAGGGAAAAAAAGTCTCTTGGAAACTCCCCTGTCAAAGACTTTATACATTCCCAATTGAAACTGTTTCCTTCCATTTGCATCATGGAGAAGACAGGAAGCAAGAGGAACTGAGAATCTTTACAGAAATGCGTCGTGGAAAAGAAGACATGCGGAGAGCATATAAATACATATTTCTTCCCAATAAGCTTTGACAATTTCTCCTTAAGTCAACGCTGCATTATAGGGCTTAATAAATTAACAACTTGTAAACATTTTCGTTGTCTTCCCTTTGTGATGACGTGGGACATTTTGGTGGAGTGGGGTGAGGAGAAGAAAGAAGGGTGTTAAGTGCATGTGATGAACACTCATTGTGCAACACAAGAATGAGACTTGGGGTGTGGTTGTTTCAAACAGCAGATGTAAGTGTTGCACCACCCCTGTAAACTCAGGAGTGTCTGCTCAGGATGTCCGGGGTAGAGAGTCACATTCCCCATCCTCGTGTCAGCCTAAGAATGTGTCTTGCACAACTAACCTCTACTCAATGCAATCATACTTTTGTTTTAGATGGTCACCTCTCTAGAGACACCAACTAAGATAATCAGTACACACCAATTCAGGCAACCTCATATTCAATGACATGATTAATTTATTTGTATAATTCCATACTATTTTTAAAGGAATGACCTTGGGAGTATAAGAGCAATTTTTCAAATTTAATTGGACTCTTTAATAGTACTTGCTCAAGAAAAATATGCCAGTGATTTAGAAACACACATACCCCCTGGGAATTAGGGGGCAGGATATTGGAGAGGGGTTCTAGAACCTCACTCTCTTGATTCTCCTTCCATATGCCTAAAACACCCAATTCCTCAAGTGGCTCCTAGAGCCCATGGGAAAAACCACTGATCAAAACCAAAAGAAATTACTCCAATAGTTCCCACTCTATGTTATCTACTTGCTCCCATTTGTACATACCTTTTGGGGGGAAGTACAAGGCAAATGAGTGTCATTATGGGAAGTCAAAAAGGGAGTCACTGGCTTGACATATAATCAGATTAAAATGTTTTTCTTTTTATCCCATGTAAATACAAGACCAAACGGTCGGTCTTACCCGAAGGTGGCCACAAAGGTCACCGTGGGCCAGCCCAGGATAAAGGACCTCCCAGCACAGATGTTGGCATCCTCCACTCTGTCCATACAGTTGGCAGTCCACATGGTGTTCAGTGGTATTTTCTTTTTTATCTTAAGTTTTTTCTTATACCTAGAAAGATACCCAAACAAGACCTCTGTTAGTTTGTTTCATAAATGTTATGGGAACAGCTGTGCTCATCAGAGACCAGTTCTCACTGCTCCAGGGCACAGCATGCCTCCCTTGTCTCTATTACCCTCTGTGCCCAGCACAGCAAATGGTGACATGACCTTTACAAAGTGTGTGTTGAGCGAAGTCTGGCCCTAGGAAGGCCCTGAAAACACTTCCTCAAATGGCAGCAAGTGGCCATTTTTCTGAATGTTGAGTGTTGAGTAAAGACTATATATTCCAGAGCTTTTTAAGAAAACCATTAATTCATTTATTATTGTTAGAATTTGTTTCTTATTATATATAGTTTTATGGTTATTATTATAGTTAATTATTCATTTATGACTTGCTTACTTCAAAAAGTATTTGAGGGGCTGAACAAAGCTACCTGATACACGATTTATAAAAATAGTCATACAATTTTTTGCTTAAGAGACACAAACCAGGGGGCGCGCCTGAGTGGCTCAGTCGGTTAAGCATCCAACTCTTGGTTTCGGCTCAGGTGGTGATCTCAGGGTCTTGAGATCGAGTCCCCATGTAAGGCTCCCCTCTCAGTGGGGAGTCTGCTTCCCCTCTCCCTTTGCCCCTCCCCCCGCTCACGCTCATTCTCTCTAAAATAAATAAATACATAAATAAATCTTCAAAAAAAAGAGAGAGAGAGAGACAAACCAAGAACAAAAAATAAACTTGGATCAGAAAGATTTTTTTTTGGGGGGGGGGGATCAGAAAGATTTAAAAGTTATTTTCAACCTTAATTTAAAAAAAAAATACTTTCTAGCCTTTAAAGCATAGGTTATTTTCAATTTCCCTTCTTAAAATTTTATCCATATCATTTTCCCTTAGATTCTGGCTAAAACTGAAAAACTGTTAGCCTACAGATTGAGCCCAATTTAAAAATCATCAATCCATCCATCAATCAATCCCAGATCAGCGGTCAGGAGGTCTTATATGTGAGTGATGGATACTTCCCATTTCTCTGAGGAGTCAGAAGGTGATCAACTTTGTCAGTGGTGAAATTGCTTTTTGACAATTTCTGCCTAATCTTCTTTGATCTCTAACATGAAAACCACCATATTGATTGATTTGGTTAATTCACAACTTTAACTCTCAGGTGGGCTTGGGATTTAAATAGTTATAAGCCCTCTGAGGGATGCTTAGGGAACTTGGACACACCACTCTGGAACTCCTTACTATTCAGAAACACATGTGGAAACACTAAACTAAAATGAGATCAAAGACACCTCATGTGCAAAAATCCCTGTGACTCCAGTGATTCATGGAACAATTAAAGCTAAGACTCTCCAATGGGTTTTATGAAATAAAAATAATTTTGCTGGACGCACACTTGAAGGATAATCTAGATTCAAAGTTTATGACACAATGAATAAAGTCATCGGATAAAATCATTATCAGATATCAGATGTCTGATTATCAGATAAAATCATTTTTCTAGATAGTAACTCCAAAGGCATTGTCAGGGTAGAAATAGATGGCTAATGGGAAAGATAGACATATATCTGTTGGTTTTTAAGATTTTTTCTTTTTTTTTCTAATGTAGGTATCTGTGTGTATACAGACACCCAAGGTACTGTGTGGGAACTTCCAAATACATTGACCTGGAAAAAGGCATTTCAGTAATTCTCTCCTTAGTTCAAGAAAGCACCAAGATTATCTACTCCAAACCAAGGAGTTATCCCAAAGCCCAGAGCATGGTTTCGACTGTCCTATCACATTTGGAGCACTTATCATATGCCAAGCACTGTTCTAAATATTTTATAAATACAAATATAAAAAATGTAATCCTCAAACAACTACACTAGGTGGTCTTTATTAGCTCCATTTTACAAATAAGGAAACTCACAGAAAGGTCAACTAAATTGCCAAAGGCAAGAGAGTTTGAACCCAGACAGCCTAACTCATGAGCCCATGTTTGTAACCACTTGGCCTCTGTGGGTGCTGACCTATCGTTCCATGAACTACCCTTCTCATGTTTCCTACCCTCACTCAGCCTCACTTCGGTCCCCAGAGCCATCAGGCTTTCTCATTGGATTATCTGGGGAGTGAGAGGATAAATCTCAAGACATTATATTAACAAAGCTGGTTACTAGCTTGGAAATATTTAAAGTTTATTACAACAAAGCTTCATACTTCAGTGGATTCTTCTAGGGTCTTACTGCATTTCTTCACTCTCAATCACTGACCCAACTGGATTATCTCAGTAGAAATTAGAAAGTATTAATCTAATGTAAACTGACTTGAGGAGAAGAAAGAGGAGGAGAAAGAACTGTGGTTTTTATTTCTAAAAATAGTCCTTTATTATATTTGTATTAACATGATGGATATCACTCTTGCTTTCTGCTACCTTAACCTTTATACCAGAAGGGAAGCCCCAGTGCACTGTGGAAATTTGCAGGATTCTAGGGGGATTTCCCCTGTTCTAAGAGAGGGGTATCCTTTTACAGATGTTGGGAGTGGGGGTCATGTTATATTCTGTAAGTAATTCTTTGTAATTTCACGGATAATGAGTTAATAGTCATCTTCATCTTTTGACCTAATTTAAATTCACTTTTTGTTTCATTTTATATTCTTTAATAACTACATATGAGGAATGTGATGTCTAAAGAACTAAGTTCAGTCCCTTCCTTTTTGTAAATTCTTCATGGGCCTCTACTAGTATTAGTATCTTAATATTTATCAAGCAGATACTGTTCTTAAAAATAAAGTAATGATTTTCTTTGAAAAATAACTTATTTAGTATTCTAATGAATATCAAAAGTAATAAGGAAGGTTCCATCTGACCTCAATTCTTGAGAAATTTCTGAAGGTGTATGAAAAGAATCCCCAAACAATTTTCACTATTATTAACATCTTGTACGACTAGAGAAATATAATTTCTTTGTGAAGAAACAAACATTTAAATTCCTTTTATTATTACACACAAACTAAAATTCACTAATTTTGACAGAATACAGAGGTAGCAATTAGTCAACTACTTACCCAATTTGTGTTAATTTCTATAGCGTCAACCTAAAGATGAGAGTTTCCAGCTGAAGCCTGCAGGTGAGCTGAGGTAAAATAGAACCTGGGTCACCCCAACCCCTTCTTATGGCTAATTGGAAAACGTAGGCCCTAAATTCAGATGATTAATTTGAACAGATTGATTCAGGGCATAACACAATCCTCCAAGAACAAGGATGACAGGGATGAAACAAGGTTGTTAATGCAGGAGCTATTTCTTTTTAGTTGTTTCCTTCTAGAAAAAAAAAAAATGTAAACTTGTCCAATATTCACAGTGATCATAAATATACCCAAATGTTTACTATGGGAATGTTCTCATGGTCGTTTTCTAAAAACTGTGGCAAAAACTTGTACGCGGCCACAGCATGAAGTGCTGCTCGTGACTGCTAGGGACAGAATTGTGTCCCCTCCCCCACTGCTCCCCACAGTCCTACCGTGAAGCCCTCTCTGCCAATATGACCATGTTTGAAGAGAGAGCTTTTAAGCGGTAACTAAGTGTAAATGGGGCCATCAGGGTAAGGGCTTAATCCAGTAGGATTGGTGCCCTTGTAAGAAGAGGGAGAGAGAGCTCTGTGTGTGTGTGTGTACATGCAGGCGCTGAGGAAACCCCACAGGGCATAGGCGAGAGGGCAGCCATCTGCACGCAGAAAGACAGCTCTCGCGGGAACCTGACCCTGATGGTGTCCCGAACTTGGACTTCCAAAAATCTGTGTTCTCTCTCTGTCAAGGGCCTTGGTTTTAGAAGCCAAATTCAAGTGCCTGAGATCACTTACATTTTCTAATATTCCAAATGGATGTAAAAAGTATATAAGATAATCTTTCAGGAGCTGAGTCTCTTAAAGAGAACATTATTAAATACATTGATGTAGATTTTGTCACATCATAAAAACCCTTGCGTAGACACAAAGACCTATCTCAAAAGCAATATGTGAAGAGGAAAAATGTTGCACTTCTTTTGTAATAGTGAACCAATCAAAATAAAAAATTCAGCTCTTAAAAGGATGCAGTTCTCTCATGGGGAAAGAACACTGCCTGTATATAAAATCTTTTCAGCAGAACACCATAGGTTCTGTAAAACCCGCTGAGAGGTAAACAGTATCCAGGACAATAAATGGCTCTAGTAAGAAAAGAAAGGTCTTCTCCTCTCCCTAAGTGCTATAATAATTACAAAGATGAAAACAAAGTGAAGGACAACCTGTTCCCCTTATAAATCGAATGTGAGTGGTCTGCAAGGTCCCAAGGAGCAGGAAAGGAGTTTGCTGTTTGTTAGCGTGTCTCGGGCTGAGCATGCAAGAGTAGGTGTGGCATGGTGTGGCAGGAAGAGTGTGGCCTTGGGATGAAGGCAGGCCTGGCTTGGAGTCTCTCCCACCATTTCCCTGTGGATGACAGGTCCATTCCTGAGACTTCCTCCATCCCCACTTTCATTTCTGCAGTCAGTGGATGGTAACAATACTGGCCTTGGAGGGCTGTGGGGAAATTACACGAGGAATCTGTAATGCTCCTCGTGTGGTCCCCAGCATGCATCCCACACATTTTAGTCTCCTGTACTCACCTTGGTTAAATAAAGGGAATGGTAACTAGTCTGCTTTTTTAAAAATAATGATGTGGCCCTCTATCAGGAGGAGCAGAGTGCGTCATACGGACCTCATGCCAGGACCTGGACAGTCTTTTTCTCTCTGTCCTCCTCATGACATCACCACCTCCAAGGCTACATCTGTAGGCAATATCACTCATCTCAAATATATTTTACTATTTCTGTCTTTGCCTCTGATTTTTATTTATTTATTTATTTTTTTTTGGACAGCTACACTACCTTCATTTCTCAGTTCACTAAGCATTCTGACCTATTTCTTACCAGATACCAAGCAGATTGGAGTTGTTTACTCAACATAAAGGAAAGGTTGATTTCAATAATGAGAGAGAATCTAGGTGTTCATGGAATGTTGTATGAAATTCAGAAAAATAGAAATAATAGAAACAGCAGCACCACACGTAGAATAAAAGCCTGTACTTTGAAAGAAACGGACCTAATTTCAAATGTAGACTCTACTCATCACTAATATGGTGACCTGGGCAAAACCTTCAGACCTCTGATTTTCAGAGGTCTTCTCTAAAATAAAAATAATCCCATCTCACAGGGTAGTTGTAAGGTTGGAGAAGATTGCATACATGAAGTTCTTAGCATAACACCTGTCATGTAGTAAGCCCCTGATAAATTATCATTAATGTCACTCAGATTGAGTACAGCATTTTGCCAAATTAGTACTTGCATGTCTTACTAATGGCATGGCATAACTGGGAGCTGGTGAGGGCAGCAAAATAAAGGGGGCGTAGTTTTTTTTCTGGTGACTAAAAAGCTTCTTGATATTTGGTTGGTTGGAATAGTCTTTGTCTTTCATGATGTTTTGTGAATAATGAAAACAGAGACAGAGCAAGTAAACAGCTGACCTCCCATCCACCTGCTTTTGGACATTTATTGAGCAATCATCAGGTTCCAGGCTGGCTATCAGTTACCTTTGTGTTCAGGGTTGAGAGGAAAGTGCACGCAGTTAGTTCTGTCTCCAGCATATATTCCCAACCTGTCTGCTGCCTCCTTCCTTTTTACTGCACTCCTATCCTGGAGCCCTTGAGAGCAGGCATCAGGACTACTGCCTCCCCTAACCAGTCTCCCTGCTCCCACTCTTGCTCAACCATCCATCCATTACCTACCAACAGTCAGAAAAATTTGCGAGAGCTATAAATCAGATTCAGTCAGTCCTAGTTAAAAATGCTTTGGCAAAATATTTCCACTTTTCACCATGGCCTGTGAAGACCGTGTGTGACTGGACCCCGAGCGCAGTTTCACATCTGATCGCATGCCCCATGCTTTCGGCTCCCATCAAATCAGCCTTCCTGAGCCCCTCCCCCCAGGGGTCAGGTTGCACCCACGTAGCCTGCCGGTCCCTCAGCCTAGAAGGTTCAGGCACCTTGTCTAGGACTGTGGCTGCTTCTCATCCCATAGATCGAGTTTCAGTGCTGCCACCTAGGAGAGGCCCTCCTGGACTACCCCTCTCTCATACGTTCCCATCATCTCCACACGGCCCCCTGTCTACTTTCTATCAGAAGCACTAATCACAATCTATAATTACCCCTCTTATTTTTGTCATTTGTAAGTTCCAGGCAAGAGACACACTGCTTGTCACATTCTCTATTGTATTCTCTGCAGGCGGGGGGGGGGGGGGGGGAGGGGGGTATGGCACAAAACAAGACCTCCATAAGTACTTGTTGAATGAATGAAGGATCCAAACATGGGCAAAAACAAAAGAAAAAAAATGTCATGTCTTCTTATGGTAAGGGTTAATGGAAATGTAACTTCGTGATCATCACAAGGGCACGTTGCTTAGTATACATACTTGGTATCGGACAACAGCAAGAAATCGCTGAATAAGAAGAGGTGCCGCTTCTGCCTCCTCCAGCCTCTCTTGAGCTCGACGGGGCCGTGGATAAGCAGGGTATGGGCGGCACCCTCAGATGATGTAGTGCTTTTGCTGCAGGCATCCACCTCAACAGAAGAGCTCTTCCTGCAACCCACCAAACACCACGGAGCAGCTAGTTACTAGTCAAATACACAATAGAGTTTTATGCTAAATGTCAAGGTTCGCATAACACTAAAATTTAGTCTCAACCCCGAAAGCAGAGCTCCAGAGCTCACATTCAGGGATCGCTGAGTTATAGAAAGCTATTGAAAGACATGAGGTCGGACGTCTGGGTGGCTCAGTCGGTTAAGCGTCTGCCTTCAGCTCAGGTCATGATCCCAGGGTCCTGGGATCGAGTCCCACGTCGGGCTCCCTGCTCAGCGGGGAGCCTGCTTCTCCCTCTGCCTCTACCCCTCCACCCTGTTTGAGCTCTCTCTCTCTCTCTCTCACATGCTCTCTTTCTCAAATAAATAAACAAAATATTTTTAAAAAGGAGAGAGAGATGAGGTCACTTGGTGAATTGATGCAGATGGAGAACAGTTTCAAGGACAAAGCCCTTGGGCATGCCAACACTTAGACGTGGGGTGGAGAAAGCAGCAAAGCTAATCATGAGCTTTTAGGAAGGGGAGGATCAAGAGGTAGAGTGTATTACAAGAAGGCAAACAAACAACAACAACAAACAGGACAATTGGTGGCCTAATATAAAACAAAATGATACGGTGTGTGTGTGAAGAATTAATTACAATTTGCTTTCATGTTAAGATAAAAATGAAGACAACTGAAGATTCTGGAAATTTACTTATCTAAATCTATCTAAATCTTATCTAAATCAATATTCAAACTTGGGGGAAAAATTCTCAAAGATCGGCAAAAATACTGGAAACATCAAAAAGTTTCTAAACACAAGAGTTTAGCTATTACTTGGCTGAGCTCTGACTGAGCTCTGATAGGACTTTCTGGTCATCATAGGTAAAACAGCTAAATTGAACAGAATGCAAAAGTTCTTTCATAAATAGGACAGATATTTTCATAGACCTGGGAAAATTCTCTCTCGTGGAGCCAAGAAAGTGTCTCCTCCGAGAATGTAAACCCTGCTCTCTTCAGCTCAGCAGCACTGAATCTTACGAACCTGAGTAGCCTTTCACGAAGCTGGTGCTGAAGTTACTCATTAGTGTACACGTATTAGAAGAAACAAAAGAGAACAACACTTCCTGTTATTGTCAGTCTGTTTTGAGGCTCAAAAATAGTATATCAAAAGACTACCTTCTGCAGTGAAGCCTTGAATGACCACCTATAAGTTCTGCATACTTTCTGAATGATGTGAACATCCTTTTGTCTTCAGTTCTCAGGACTGAAAATCAAGTGAGTCTACAGCACTAGGCAGAGTACTGTAAAATGCTTGAAGCCTGAGGATTCCATAGTAACCTGAGATCACTACCATTATGATGTCACGGATCTAAGGCTCATGTCGTAACTGCCAAACTGACATACTTGTTTCCCTGATTTGGCCTGCACGTTTTGATTTTTTAAAAGTAATCTTTTTTATTTTGAGATAACTATAGATTCATATGTATCTGTAAGAAATAATACAGAGAGATTACATCAATTTTCTACAGACAGAGACTTCCAGACACTTCCATCACCACAAGGATCCTTCCTATTACCCTTTTACAACCACACAAACTTCCTTCCACCTCCCCCACCTCTTTAATCCCTGGCAATCACGAATCTGTTCTCCATGTGTATAATTTTGACATTTCAAGAATGGTATACAGAGGGGATCATATAGTATGTAACATTTTTGTGATTTGCTTTTTTCCACTCAACATAACGGGAGAGTCATCCGGATTGCCACAGGTGCTCACGGTTCATTTCTCTGTGTCTCTTAGTAGTATGCCAGGATATGGCTGTATCACAGTTTGCTTCACCACCTGCTGAAGGAATTCTGGATTGTCTGCAGGCTTGGGCGTTCACTAATAAAGCTGCTGTAAACATCTGTGTACAGGCTTTTGTGTCAGCGTCGGTCTTCTCTCCTCTGGGCTAAATGCCCAGGAGTCCAATTGCCAGGTCCTAGGGTAGCTGCTCTGTTTTGTTTTTTAAGACACTAACTGTTTTCCAGAATGGCTCTGCCATTTCACATTCTCACCAGTACTGTGGGAGTGATTCAGTTTCCCCACATCCACACTAGCATCCACACTGGCAACTAGTGTTGTCATTTTTTATTTTAGCTGTTCTGATAGCTGTGTCATGATATCTCACTGTGGATTTAACGTGCATTTCCCCAATGGTTAGTGATGCTAAACATCTGTTTGCCGTGCGGACATCTTCTTCAGTGTGACGGAACCTACAGTAGTCTGTTAAAAACATTTTCCGTGGAGACGGTGTTCCCTGTCCACTAGAAAACTGACCATTTTACAGATGAGGAGGTGCTTCACGGACAGGTTAGACGCTTTCAATTCAAGCAGCTGCGACATAACATGAAGGATTCAAATCCAGCTGACTCAGGAGGTCACTCAGCTTCCTGTGAGGGCCCCCACTCTTCTCACACGGACAGTGTCTTTCCTTTGACAACAGTGGAGGACTGAAATTTGATCCTACTAACAAAGTTCATGGTTTCCCTTATAGGCACCTCGAACAGGTATGTGAATCCCTCTCTTTTATTCCCCACTCGACTCTATGGGCCTCAAGGAAAGAGTCTATGTCTGATTTATCATTTTAATTCTCACAAACATTGGCACATTGGAGGAATTCAAAAATTCTCTTGAATGGGTGAGTGAAATAGTTTTCTGGCATGGATGGATGGGGAAAAGGCATGACCTAAACTAGTCTCTCTCTCATTTACTTCATTCATTCAACAGATAGTGTTTGAACCTGTACTAGGAGAAAGACACTTGCTAGGTCTGGGCAACAGAGAGCCAGGCCCAACTCTCACAAAACCAGGATTTAAATGGGGGGGTGGGGGGCAGAAATTAAACAAAGAGTGTCATCAATAACTGTGTAACACCAGACTCTGGAAAGTACTGCAGAGAAAAATTAAAGAGATGAGAAATTAAAAGAGGGACCTGACACCTGATTTCAGTTGTGAAGAAGTCTCCTTTGAAGAGCTCCTTTAAAATGAGCTTTAAAGAATAATTAGGGATTGATTAGAGAGAGGAGAGAAAAGAGGAAGGCAGAGGGAAGGGACAAGAAGAGAAGTGTATTGGAAGGGAAGATACATTTTTCAGCTGAAGGGACAGAATGCGAATATGTGATGTTTCAGAGACATGGAAGAGTTTGCTAGTTTGGAGATACAGGCAGAAGGTACAGGAGCATGAAATATGCCTGAAAAAGTAGGTAGAGGCAAGAGCACAAGTCCTGGTAGACCTTTTAGACTTTACTGAGGCCTCTCATCTTAAAACCAAACTAGCACAGAAGTGACATGTAGATAGTGGCCTTCAGACTTTTCACCACTTTTATTTTTTTTAAGATTTTATTTATTTATTTGGGTGGGGGGTAGCAGAGGGAGAGGGACAAGCACAAACAGTGCTGAGAGTGGAGCCTGACCTGGGGCTCGATCTCACAGCCCTGAGATCATGACCTGAACCAAGATCACGACCTGAGCCGAGATCAAGAGTCAGAAGCTTAACCGACTGAGCCACCCAGATGCCCCTTCTCACCACTTTTAAAGGGACAAGTGCTAGTCTGGACATGTTTGATTGTATTAGAACCATGGAGGCTCATGGGGCAACACTTTCTGGCCTCCCATCAAGCATCTGTCAACAGTTATTTAATGTAAAAATGTAGGCAAACTTATCTCTGCACCTTCCCCAATTCCCAGATTATGTCCCATTTCTCTGCCTCTCCCTTCAGAGAGGTTAGAGATTTAGAGACCAGGAAAACTCTCCTTCTAGAATCTAGTATCTGCTTATCAATACTGATATGCATCAGTCTCACTTGGGGGAGTTTTCAGGCACTCCCTCTCTAACCCCTAGAGGTTCTGATTCATCAGATCCAGAAAACCTGTATTTTGAAAAATTTTTTGAGTGATTCTTGTATGTAACCAGGATTGTGAGTTACTAATCTTCAGGAATTAATTGAGAAAGATGTAGTGTTCTGATTCTATCTTCCCCTTGTAGTAAAGCCAAGGAGAGAAAAGTTTTCTTAGAAAGATAAAGGGAGCTTTCCTTAGTCATGTAATAGTTACATTTACAGTAATAGCTAAAGCTTATTTTCTTCTAAAATACCATTGCTACTTATTTTAACTTGATGAATGAGCTCTAAATAGAATCACAGTGATAGGGTTTGTTTTCATCTATTTCATTGAACACTTAACTTTTCACCCTAAATATCAAATAGAAGAGATAGTATAAGGTGATCCTATGCCCATAATATCAATATTTTTAAGCATGTTGCAAAGACAAGACTATTTAAAAATTTTTTTTTGAAGATGTTATTTATTTGAGAGAGAAGTGAGAGAGAGAGAGAGCATGAGCAGGGAGGGGGGTGGGGGGGGAGGGGGGGAAGCAGACTCCCCTATGAGCAGGGAGCCCGATGTGGGGCTTGATCCCAGGACCCTGAGATCACGACCTGAGCTGAAGGCAGATGCTTAACTGAATGAGCCATGCAGGTGCCCCTAGACTATTTTCTTAATTCAATTTCTTTCTTTTAATTTTTTTATATTTATTTTATTTCAATTCCAGTATAATTGTTATTATTAGTTTCAGGTGTACAATATAGTGATTCGATAATTCTATACATTACTCAGTGCTCATCATAAGTGTACTCTTAATCCCCATCACCTACCATCCATCCCCCCACCCACCTTCCTTCTGATAACTATCAGTTTGTTTTCTATAGCTAAGAGTCTGTCTTTTGGTTTATCTCTTTTTTATTTGTTTTGTTTCTTAAATTCCACATATAAGTGAAATCATATGGTATTTGTCTTTCTCTGACTTATTTCACTTAGCATTATACCCTCTAAATCCATCCATGTTGTTGCAAATGGCAAGATTTCATCTTTTTTATTGCTGAATAATATTCCATTGTGTGTGTGTGTGTGTGTGTGTGTGTATATCACATCTTCTTCATCCATTCATCTATCAGTGGACACTTGGGCTTGCTCCATAATTTGGCTACTGTAAATAATGTTGCAACAAACATAGGGGTGCATATATCTTTTTAAATTAGTGTTTTTCTTTTTTTAAAGATTTTATTTATTTATTTATTTATTTATTTATTTATTTATTTATTTATTTATTTGAGAATGAGAGAGGGTGAGCAGACAGGTGGGGGCAGGGGCAGAGGAAGAGGGAGAGGGAATCTCAAGCAGACTCTGTGCTGAGCGCAGAACCCAATGTGGGGTTCGATCCCATGATCCCGAGATTATGACCTGAGCTGAAACCATGTGCTAGATGCTTAACCGACTGAGCCACCCAGACACCCCACAAATTAGTGTTTTTCTATTTGGGGGGTAAATACTCAGTTATGGATCATATAGCAACTCTATCTTTAATTTTTTGAGGAACCTCCATATTGTTTTCCACAGGGGGCTGCACCAGTTGGCATTCCCACCAACAGTGCACAAGAGTTCCTTTTTCTCCACAATCTTGCCAAAACCTGTTGTTTCTTGTGTTGTTGATTTTAGCCATTTGGACAGGTATGAGGTGATAGCTCATTGTGGTTTTCATTTGCATTTCCCTGATGATGAGTGATTTGAGCATCTTTTCGTGTCTGTTGGCCATCTGTGTCTTCTTTGGAGAAATGTCTGTTGATGTCTTCCGCCTATTTTTAAATTGGATCATTTGGTTTTTTGGTGTTGAGTTCTATAAGCTCTTTATATATTTTGGATACTAACCTTTTATATCATTTGCAAATATCTTCTCCCATTCAGTAACTTGTCCTCTCGTTTTATTGGTGGTTTTCTTTGCTGTGCAGAAGCCTTTTATTTTGATGTAGTCCCAATAATTTATTTTTGCTTTTGTCTCCCTTGCCTCAGGGGACATATCTAGGAAGATGTTGTTACAACCAGTGTCTGAGAAATTACTATCTGTGCTCTCTGCTCGGACTTTTTTGGTTTCAAGTCTTACATTTAGGTCTTTAATCCATTTTGAATTTTATTTTTGTGTATAGTGTAAGAGAGTGGTCCAGTTTCATTCTTTTGGATGTACCTGTCCAGTTTTCCCAACACCAG